GAAGAGAGAAAGGAGAGTGTAAATAATATTAACAGTTATTTTGCCAATGTGGGATCAAGACTGGCCGAGCAAATTAATTGTACAAACCGACAACTAGCTGCACCTGATGGTAATTTTTCTCCTCTCTTTACTAAAACCCCTCTTAACTCACTTGTTATGCTTCCTGCCGACGAAGCAGAAATCTCCCAGTTCATTAAGGGGTTAAAAGACAACTGCGTTGCGGGAAGTGATCTGGTCTCCCGAAAAATTGTAAAAAGGAATATAAAAAAATTAACACCCCCAATTTTACAAATATGCAACCTGGCCTTAGAAACCGGAGTATTTCCTAATGCATTTAAGATAGCCCTTATCACACCCATCTTCAAGGGAGGTGATAGAAACTCGGTCGTTAATTATCGGCCGATCTCTATTTTACCAACCTTGTCAAAAATTTTGGAGATTAGTCAAACAAATGTTGGTTAGCTTTATGGAGTCAAATAATTTTATTTCACCTAATCAATTTGGTTTCCGACGCGGTAAGACTACTAATGATGCTGTTCATGATCTTATTAATACGACTATACTTAATTTAGATAGAAAAAACAAGTATTTAACAGTGTTCCTTGACTTTTCTAAAGCTTTTGACACAGTCTCTATCCCTCACCTGCTAAAAAAAACTAGAAAAGGCCGGTGTAAGGGGTATTCCATGAAAACTGATGGAAAATTTTTTGACCGATAGAAGACAGCGGGTCCGTTTCGATCATTATATATTATCAAGTACAATATAGTAAGTAACAAGTAAGTGAGGGTAATATAGTCATCATAATATACAGATAGTATATTAACAAGTAAGTGAGGGTAATATAGTCATCCAGTTAATATGGTCACTTCCTTGTTACTCAAAACTGCAGTTTTGTTTGCATCAGTCAATCAAATAATAAGGGGGTCAAAAGGGCGATTCTTTATCGACGCCATTTTGACAGTTGGCATTATAGTAAATATTTTAGTTGATTTTAATATTGTGTTTTTTATAGTATTGGGTAACAAAGGAGCACACAGTCCACCTGTTGGTAAGTGGATGCTGTGACCCATAGACATCCACATTTATCCTCAATTAAGAATCAAAATACAAATTCGTTGTCACCCCTGAGCACTAAGATGGAATGTATGTGTAGTGTAGTTAACTTTTTTTAAGTACATTTATCGAAGTGTTCTTAATAATTAACAGAGTTTTTTTGCTATTTTTTTTCTTAATATTATAATAATAATGTCCTTTAGACCGAATTTTATTCGGGGCAGCTGGTCTCCACGGAGACTAGCCTTCGGCGCAGGACAGGATTATAGTGCACGAGAGCACAAGCATAGGTGCACTCTCTATTCCCTCACTCTCATAGTCCGATATGACGGGGAGCCGACACGACCGGAGAAAGATCAGGCGCAGAACCAACGGCTTTACGTGCTTTCTAAGATACGGGAGTGATACACCGCTAACTTCCTGACTCCGGGCAGCTACTGAGAATTTCTTAATGAAAAAACAGAATAACAGATATTTTTTGACCAGACCTGGGATTCATATCCGAGACCTCATAATCAGCAGTCGCACTACTACAACCACTAGACCAACGAGTATACGACTTTATGTTTTTGTCTCTGTCTTTCTTCTAGCTTAGGTTTTATAGAGCGGCAAAGCTTGAGGTGACCATATTACCCTCACGTACCTTAATTGTTAATTAGTTGCTACAAAGCAATCTTTTTCGTTGCTGCAAAAAAGTAAATAAAAAAAATACGTGTGGCACTCGGTGACTGCCGCGGTAAAGCTATTGCATAGTATTTTTTATCAACTTATGCAATTATAATTATTTATTTATTTTATTTATGCAGTTAAGTCTTTAATATTAAATCAAGTTACACTTTTTGAGCGTGGCGACCGATAAGAAAACAATTTTTTTTTTCTCTTATTGAATAAATGAGAAGTTAATATTGTTTAAAATATTTTTAATATATTACAATACATGTAGGTTATTCAGGAATTTTTATCATTGAGTTAGCAGCTAGTGTACACGCATACGTCTAGTCGCACGCACACAAACACCGTGCCGAATTCCGCCGAGTGCCGAAGTCTGCCGAACTGAAACGACGTTAGACGATGCACGGCTTTCAACGCCACACCTCCGTGCCCGTCGGAGTGGAGAGCGTGAGGTTTTTTTTCGTTACGGAATTTCTGGATTCGGTCCCCGCGCTCAAGGCCCCCGATAGAAGCTATGCAATAGCTTAAAAACAAGATGGCCCGTCACGAGATGCCCGGCAATTGTGAAACGTCATAGTTGATAATAGAATTTATAATTAATGAGAACCAATAAAGTATTATGGAGTAAAATACATAAAAAAATTCAACGGTTCAACTTCAACGATAACATAGAATGTGTAAGGCATCCGTGTTCTTTGACCACATTCCTACGTAATTTTATAGTCTATGCACACAGCTGCTCCGACCCGACACACTCACTAACGCTTAATTACGTTCATTTTTTCTTGGAAGATTTATACAAGAACAGGCATTACCGATGCAGTTCGCCTTGATTCTCATTTACATGTGGGTATCGATAGCGTCGACTTCTTTTACAGGTGTTTTTGTAGTAGGCCAACAGATGGCGTCATATGTTTAGTTGCGCTAATAATTGGAAAGAAGGATGCGATAGAAAAATAAGGAAGGCAAGCCAGTACAGGTTGTTCAAGCTTAGTATTTCTGGAGAAAGAATTAAGACAGTCTCAGTGAAGCTTTAGTATCGAACATTAGTATTAAGTATTGATTAAAAAGTCTTCTTAAAAACATCCCTAGGGAATTTAGAATTTTAATAAGAAATACAAAGTATGTATACAAGCGGTGAACGCGTCAAGTATACTATAGTCGAATAAAGGCACACGTAGTACACAACTTACGTAGGCAAGCAACAACGTGTACTCCGCAGGGGCGCCAAACATGAAGGGAGCGCCAAAGGCGAAAAAGCAAAATTGAAAGAGAAAAATTAAATTTCCAAATTACAAGTATATCGAGAGTCAAAAAATGCGTTCGTGAAATTTGGCGGCTGGAACTAATCCCAAAAATTCCTCAGGATACTCCCTGTGGTAGATGCGATAGAAAATGCAACGGGATGCGACAACCCTACGCAGCGCCAGTGAATCGAGAAGATCAGAAAGAACCGCTCTGCGCTGGATGCGGTCAAGTGGAAGGAGCTCGCACTGGGGTATTCCGGCCCAGAGATAAGAACAGTATTTCATATGGCAGAACTTGCGCTTCGTAGAATATGGCTTCCAGGTTGGCAAGTACCCAAAGTTAGAAAGTGCTGTGTGAGTACTCAGGGTTAAAATACGTTTATTATTATTGTTGTTATTTTTAAAAAAAAACCTTCAGAAAACTAAACTCCAAGGGAATGAGACGAATGCAGATTTTCAGGAGTAGGCAGATTGTAGATAGAGTTTTTTTTTTAAGTAGAATAAGGGTGGCAAACGAGCACACAGTCCACCTGATGGTAAGTGAATGCTGTGGCTAATAGACATTTACATTTATCCTCGATCAAGAGTCAAAACGTAAATACGTTGCCAACCCTGAGGACTACAATGGAATGCCTATTTTCCAAAAAAAAAAGAGTCAGTGAGTGTAACGTATATGGTCGTGAAAAAAGTTTCTTCGTATTTAGTTTGGATAAAATTGTATTAATTTTAAAGTTCAACTAAAATCGCGCGTCACCTCAAAAGTTTATTTTTAAACTCTTTGATCTCAATCAGCAGAGGACTCAACAAATTAGGGTACACGATAAATTTTTGGTCGTGAAAAGGAGGATTTCCTTTAAAATATAGTATGTGTGGTTATTTCTCGGTCGTTTTCAATAATTAAAGTGTAGCGCCACCGGAATATAACTACTACCATCGAAGATAAAGAATGGAATTCAAAATGGCGGCTTATCGAAGCTACACTACCAGCATACAAGGTACCTAAAACGTAAATAGCGCCAATAACCTTATAGTGGAAGTCCAGGAAAAGTGAATAATCCGGGCAAAGTGAATAGTACCCATTATTCCCAAACTATTCGTTTGGCGTCAACCACGCAGTCATAGCAACGTTCCGCCACCTTGTTTCAGTGAGCGGCAAACACTTAAGCGAAATAATTTGCAATATTACGAGGTAAGTATTTTGATGATATTGTCTTTATTATTTGTTTATCATTCTTGTGCGTATTATAAATCAATTATGTATCAAAATCTTTTTATATAATATGTTGCACTGGGAATCGAAATCAATAGTTTCTGTATTCATTGACTTAACCTTAAAAGTGGTCGCGTTGGGCAAAGCTAATAGGGTAAAGAGGATATTGTATCCACTGCCCAGATTTTAGAATCAAAACAAAAAAACTATGAATATTTTGTAAATAAATAGATACAATACAATATTCTTAATCCTAAAATATAGAGATATTGAAAAAACATGTGTCCAGCAAAAAAAGGAGACTGAGATTAGAGGAAATAATGATACTGTATTCTATCTAATTCTCTCGCAGGTTAAATTCTATAGATTTAATCTTTGTTTCTTTTTATTGTCGCGTTTTCGTTTCATTGAGTCTCAAATTCAAAAGATTCTAAGTAAGAAAACAACTATAAAAAATATTAAAAACAAAAACTTTAAAAAATAGGTTAAAAATGTGCAAAAAATTAAACAGCAAACCACTTACGCATTGTTTTGTGTATTTACATCATGTTATAAACTGATGAAACTTAAAACTAAAACACAACTTCCCGACTATAATGATGTTGTGAAACAAATGTCTTCACCTCAGTCCCAAATAGAGACATTTGGTGAGAGGAAAACTATTAGCCCTCGGTTTTTGTGATCGTTACCGACGGGTGTGAGTATAGACAGCGATAGTGTGCAAGCAAGAGGGGAATAGAGGTGACGTCATTTGTAATTCCATTGTTTCACTACGCGGGTAGTATCAAAAACTTCAATAGTTTTCAAATATTAATCGTTAATCATTAAAACCCTGAGAGATCTCCTGGTCGATCCACCCCGCAAAATGTGAAACTTTCGTGTATATTGTTATTGACTCATGTTGCTCCAAAGCTATCCCGTTAATATAGAAGTTGGAGTCGCCGGTACGAAGCTGAAATATAAAAAACACATCTGTGTAGCTCACACGCAGTACAACTAAAACAATTTTAATAATAATTTTACATTTTATTTTATATATTATAATATTACATATTATGAGGAGTTTTCAATTTCAACAAATGACACTGTTGCACATGATAACTAAAGTATATATAGTACGTGGGGGTAATATGGTCATCCGGTTAATATGGTCACTTTCTTATAACTCAAAAACTACAGCCTTGTTTGCATAGATGGCTCTGTGATACGATAGCTCTTCATCAGTCAATTAAATAATAAAGGGTGAAAAGGGTGCTGCTTTATCGACGCCAATTTGACAGTTGACATTAGCGTAAATATTTTAGGCGAATTCAATATGGTATACCGAGGTTAGTTTTTTAAGTAGATTTTTCTAAGAGTTCCTTATTATTGCCAAAGCTTCTTTGCTATTCGTTATATTTGTTATAGTATAAGACTTTGTTTTTGAGTCCCTTTCCTCCCCCTAGTTTTGTTTTTATAGGGTGCTAAAGCTTAAGGTTACCATATTACTCTTACGTACCTTAATAGATATTAGGAAACACTGTATACTGTATTCTATCTCATTCTCTGGCACGCTAAATCCTATAGACATATATGTTTGTCTCTTTTTAATGTCGTTGTAATTTTTGTTTCGTTTAATTTAAAATCACAACAATTTTGAAGAAGTATTCCGTTCAAAAAACTTACTTTAAACACACGCAGCAAAAATGAATCCTTAGTTATTTTTTATTTATAAAAACTATTAATAATTCGGTTTTTATTATTAATTTATTGATACTGAGATAATAGAAAACACTATACAGTATTCTATCTCATTCTCTCGCACGCTAAATGCTATAGATGTACATGTTTGTCTCCTTTTCTTTTCGTCTAACTTAGAATTACAACTATTTTAAAGACCTTTTCACTTCAAATTAACTTGATAATTATTTTTTTGGATTTGAAATGAGGATATCCGCAGTAGGGAACCAACATATCCAAACCGATCAGTAAGTTGAAATGGCAATGGGTCGACCATATAGCTCGAAGAACCGACAACTGGTGGAGAAGAAAGGTTCAAACGAGCACGCTGTCCATCTGATTGTAAGTGGATGCTGTGGCTCACGGACATATACATCTATCTTCGATTCAGAACCAAAATGTTGCGTTGTCACCCTGAGGACTAAGATGAAATGCCTCGTTTTCAATAAAAAGGGTATCCGGTTCTCTATCCTCACCATACGAAACACAGCAGCATAAAGCTGCTATTATGGGCTGGTACTGTAAGAGCGTGGTCCGTCTCCAGTCAAGCCGACCCATTTGTAATTACACCAGAGTTATACAATCGTATAGCTGTTCCCAGCAGTGGAACGATTGAAACCTATTATTCTTTATTAATCTTACTCATATAACTCGAAGGACCGACAATCGATGGGGAAAAAAGGTTCTCGAGTGGCAGTCTTGTATCAGTAGAAGAAAGGTAGAGTGACCTCCCACTAGATGGAGTAACGAACTAGTAAAACATGCAGGAAATTGAAGGATGCAAATAGCTCAGGACCGTGCTTTGTGGATTTCCTCGGGGAAGGCCTATGTTTAGCAATGAACTAGTAAATCGCTGTAATGATGATGATGATGATGATCAACATAACTCACGCTATCCGGGCAGAAGAGACCAGCCCCGGTTTCAGGATCGTAATCTCCCGGAGGCGCAATCGCACATATCTGACTGACGTGAAGATCCTTGTTCCCGATTTTGCACTTTTCCGGCAACGGGACAACTGGGTTTATCTATGGGAAAAAATTTATATAACGAAAGTGTATAGAACCCGTAACAGTAGAACCAGATTAATCGACAAAGTTAACTGACGGGTTTGGTAAGATGACACTTTTGTATAGCATTGAACAAACGAGAACACAGTCCAGTAAAAAGGGTCTCCGCTTTTCTACATTTACCATACAAAACACAGCAGCAATACGTTTCTATTTACTAATTTACTCATAGGGTGAGAATATTTGGCATAGTTGCCGCGCTTAGCAAGTGCGTTGGTCACCGCAGTTTTTCATTTTTATGTACGTGAGGATAATAGTCAGTAATCACCTTAAGTTTTGCCGCCCTATAAAAACAAAACTAGGAGGAACATTTCGAAAATCAACTTAATAAAAACTAACTACATTACGCCATACTAAATCGACTAAAATATTTACTATAATATCAACTGATAAAATGGCGTCCTTTTGACTTTTTATTATTTGATTGACTGATGAAGAACTACCGTATCATATAACCTTCTCTCCAAATAAGGCTGTAGTTTTTTTGAGTTATAAGACAGTGACCGTACTAACCGGATGACCATATTACCCTCACGTACTACAGTCGTTATTAGAAAGACGCTGCTCCCCATCTCCTGGTATGTTTTCCTGTGTCACCTTTTTCGATACCCGCGAGATGATATGGGGTAGTGGGTATTCTTAGACTGGCATTACAAGATAACTGCAAAAAGAACTTACAAAATGATCCGAGTCGGCAATAATGGTGCAAGTGGTTGCGTGCATGGGTGGTAAATTGTGATAGCATACTGGTTTCACCCATCGAGGTGTCCGCTCTCGGGTTTTATTGAGTTTCAGAAGGGCTATGTCGTTGATGCTTGGTGTTTCTGGAACAAAACTAAGCATTAAAAAGGCCGGAGAAGCCACTGTACACCTTTTTACGTGTTAGAGCCACGCTATAGCTATTATATCGGTGTAGCACGAAAGGCTCGACTCGACCTGTGAAGGATCACGCTCTCACAGATTATACAAGTGGGAAAATAGCGCCTTAATAGTGTGTTGCGTATGTTTTTTTTAGAAAACCGGTGACCCTTTTTCCTAACCATGAGGTGGAGTGTGTACTCGATTGAGAATCAAAATACAGATGCGAAGTTACCCCTGAGGACTAAGATGTTATGTCGCATTTCCAGTAAAAAGGGTCTTGGTTTCTATATATTGACAAATTGTGAATGTAAGTGAATTTACTTTGAGCATTTTCAAAGGAGTTTTAGTGTTCATAATAGTTAACTTATTAAAATCAATCTCGTGAAACTTTTTTTATTTATATCTGTGTTAACTGTCACGCGTATTGGTAATCCACATTCGATTTGCAAATAAAATGTATTTAAATTAATTTTAATGTTGTTATAGTCGAGTTTTCTGAAGTAAAGTTATTTCTATACGTTTTTTTTTATAGAATAAGGGTGACAAACGAGCACACAATCCACCTGATGGTAAGTGGATGCTGTGGCCCATAGACATCTTCATCTATCCTCGATTAAGAATTATTTGCAAATGCGTTGCTAGCTCTGACGACTGAGATAGAATGCCTCGATTCCAGTTAAAAGGGTCTCCGGATCTCGACACTCACCATACGAAAAGCATTAAGCTGCTATTTGACGCTGGTATACTGTGAGAGTGTGGTTCTACCCCGGCCGAGTCGACCCATTCGTGCTGCAACCACACTATATTGTGGTTGCAGCACGAATGGGTCGACTCATGCAGCATGACTCTACCACGTAAATGTAAACGTTTGAATACCATTAGTATTCATACTCCTAACTCATAACGCATTAAGGGGGAAATACAGGAATTTTGTTACGTGTTGTATCTACATATGTGTTTATTATTTTAATATGTTTTTTTTCTTTATTGTAATACCTCACAGCTAAGGAAACAATAAGCGGACTTAATACCTGTCATACATATATCCTCCAAACCGAATTCCGGCCACGGCGGCCAGCCTCAAAAGAGACTAGCCAAAGGCGCAGGACAGGATTATAGTGCCCAAGTGTATGCGCAAACGCAGGTACACTCTCTATTCCCTCACTCTCATAATCCGATGGGACGGTCAACCGACACGACCGGAGAGAAATCAGGCGCTGGACCAACGGTTTTACGTGCTTTCCGAGGCACGGGGTAAGACACCGCCAACTTCCTGACTCCGGGCAACTACTGAGAATTTCTTGACGGAAAAACTCAATATTTTTATGGCCCGACCTGGGATTCGAACCCAGGACCGGACAGGACAGGAGCAGTCGCACTACTACAACTACTAGACCAACGAGGCAGTTATATATATATATATATATATATATATATATATATATATATATATATATATATATATATATATATTTTAACATATAAATACGTATAGGGTACATGAGGGTAATGTCATTGAGTTATACAACACTAGAGGAGCAAACCACATTACCGCGCGTCGAAAAATGTGTAACCACTATCCAAACGCGACGACGTAGCTTTGAAACTAATAACAATTTTAAATAAACATATATCTATCTCACTTACACAAGTTACGTAAACAATATCGTCGCTAAAATTAGATAAAGATAGACACACAAACATGCAATGGCGGGTTGGTGTGGCTTACTATATAAAATTTTACCTAAAATACGCAATAAAAATGAGTTTTTTTTAAGCTTCAGTTAATTGTTTTTATATTAAGAAAGTATATTTTATTTTAAAATCTTTATTGCGTCCCCTTAGAAAAAAAGAATACAAAGCTTATCAGATGAGTTAGAAGTACATAATGATGAAATAAAACATATTTTTATAAATATTTTTTACTGTACTAATAAATCAAGTAATATAAAATAGGTAGTGAAATATAATTAATATAAAATTTATATGAAATTTTAATTAATATAAAATTATTAATATAAGATATAAGGTAGTAAAATATATTTAATAGATAATTCACGAATAAAATAAAATAAGAATAATTATTTTGTATAAAGGTTGAAACATAGTTTTTATTTTTAAGCAATCAATTTTACTTGTTTATTTTAAAACAAAATTAACTTATTCCATAAATTATACAGTCTCCCATTAATGTGGAAAAATCACAAAGGCGGAAAAAGTGGCAACATTGAACCTAAATTGCAATATTCGATATTTTATTTAATTTTTTAGTGTTTTAAACGTTAATATGAATATATAAATTAAAACTTACGTATGGAAAGTGATTCCGCTTGATTTATTATGTTTTTGTGACCTTGAAACGCATTCTTTCACTACGCATTTACCCATTTTTTGTTGTGAATCGTTCGGCTTAACTCGGACGGCGTCACCTTGAACACTGAACCGACGTTCGCTGAGTATAAGGCTGTGGCCTTATGTGAAGTGACAACGCTTTGGCGCGGAAATTACTTATCTAGTGTAACGTATAAATCAATGGGTAATGTGGTCAACCCTATAAAACCAAAACTTGGAGTAGGACAGAGACAAAAAACAAAGTCGTATACTATAACTAATACATTAAGGAATAAATCAAAGACAAGCTTTGGCAATAATTAGGAACACTTCGAAAAATCAACTTAAAAAACCTAACTACGCTACACAATACTAAAATCGACTACAATATTTTACTATAATTTCAAGTGTCAAAATGGCGTCTATAAAGCAGCGCCATTTTGACACTTTATTATTTGATTGACTGATGAAGAGCTATCGTATCACAGATTCATCTATGCAAACAAGGCTGTAGTTTTGAGTTATAAGAAAGTGACCATATTAACCGGATTGGATGTATTGTCTATAAATCGCACGTATTGATATTATATTACGTATATTTATATTGCACCACCTACCTAGTTTTCATTGTTCTATGCCTTTACATCTTTGGTTGCCTGGAAGAGATCGCTATGTAGCGCTAAAGCCGCCAAATTGTACATATAATCTGCTTTTTGTTTTGTTATCTATATATTTGTTAGTGGTGTACAATGAAATTATATTCATTCTTAAGGCTACAGTCTTTTAAAGTTGACTCACATCGAATCATTAGCGCCACTTTGATTTCTTTTTTTACAGCAAATTATTGTTTCAGAGTAAAATATTTTGATAACACATAAATACCCAGATTATAAGTAATGGCTAAATTTTTTTTTTTGGTTCATCTATGTGGTCTATGTTAGATAAATCAAACGGTAAATAGAGCTCTCTCGCACCCAACGCAATTTCGAGCTTTGTTCGTGTACCATTATAAGGCAATCGTGTACAGGCGAAATCTATTCAGCGCGTTAATAGCTAAACATCTTCATCTCCAAAATGCGCTGTTTCTTTTTTTCTAAATATCTTTCATTGTCTTAAATAAGAGGTCTCAATTTCGTTAAATTTCGCTGTTTTCGCCTCATAAAAAACTATTTGTTTCATAGCAATAGCTGAAAATATTTATGCTATAATTATTTTTTTCTCAAGGGCAGGTGTTTAATTAGACAAATATTAAAAAATAATAATTTAAACCACTTTATTTCAAAATTAATAATTATTTCGATCGACCTATAAAATATTGACTTTATAAACAATAATTGCGGGCAATATTCCTTAGTAGCCGCTGAGCGGCTGTAGCGTTCAGACGTCTTGTCTGTGCCAAATTTTTGCACTTCCTCTCGCTCTAACATTCCTCTTTCTCTCTCTTTCCCTAATCTTGGTTGCGCATTGTTACGAATTGAAAGTTGCTCTACTTTATTATTTTTTGCATATAATTCTTTAAGGGTTTATAAATCATTTTGTATTTGTTTTATAACTTTTAATTTCGATATGGTCCATAAACGTAAAAAATATGCTTGTACCAGAAAACGAAATTGAAATCAAACGTTGAAGCAATGAACAGAAATAGAATTCAAAGGTAAGTTTTTTTGTGTTTCATAGTAAAATAGTTAACACCCTCCATACATCATTCAAGCCATTGCGAATAAATTAAAAAAAAAGCGCTAAGTCGTCCGTCGATGCTGCTGTACAAGAATAGTAATTCATGCATATAGGTAAATGCTATACAAAGTTACATTATACTTTAATGAGAAACTATAAATATGTGTGATAGTGGACTGTTTGTACTTATATAGAAATTATTTTGAGTTTTTTTTTAATCTATTTTAGTATTTAGAACTACTTGACGTACTTGACGGATTTTCGATAGTGTCATCGACTTATTACGAAACCCTCAGTGCACGACTCATTCTAGCACTTGCCAGATTCATTTGAATAATCAATAATACGAGTACATGTTATACAGGTTCTAGATGATTATCTTTTAGAAACCTTTTCAACAAAACAACAAAAATTATACAAACTTAAAATATTTTTTTTTGTGTAACGAATTTTGTAATAAAAGCATGGAACAAAAATAGATACGAGGTAGAAAATCTGTATGTGAAAATTTGTTAGCTAATTATCAATAATCCTGTATATTAGATAAATTGATACTGGAAAATCTTAGTAGAGCAACTTTCCACGCTACGGCCAGAAAGATAACTGCGGTGGCGGTACATGAAGTGGCGGGGCAGGGAGGGTGTAGATGTGTCACCAGAACGCAATTTTTCTGTTTTGCTCTGAAAGACTGGGCTCTTAATGATTTCTTATTTACGCGAACACTACACATTGATTAAAACTACTATTACGGATTTTATCGCGTTTAATTTTACTTTTAGTTATTTTTATTTTTATTTTGATATATATATATAATGAACTATGTCCTGAGGTCTTGCAGTGGTTTGCTTGAGGTTAGTTTTTTCACAAGGGGGGGGGGGGGGAAGAAGTCTGCAGTTTGTGATCATATCCTAGACGGACCGATTCCTACCAAGGATGATACGTGAGGCTATTGAAATTAAAAAACATCCTAATTTCAATGGACAAGGAGGCTGGGTACTACCACCTGCTTAGGACCCTACATTCAATAAAATTAAAACTAAACCCAAGCATGCCACTGCAAGGCCTCAGGACATAGTCAGTTAATTTTGCATGGATCGGACCACAAACAATAATTGAAAAAGCTGAAGGTACTCCGGGTTTAACAATGACATCGGGACGTCAGTCACCTCAGTCCCCCGTGACCATGGGTGCTGGAAAGCACCCGAAACGTCGGGAAATAAAAATAAAAATAATTAAAAGTAAAATTAAACGCGATAAAATCCGTAAAAGTAGTTTTAATCAATATATTCATTCATTCATTCATTCATACTCTCACGTACTTAAATAAAAATACACGTACGTAAATAAAAATATTTTTACGTATTAATACGTACATGCATACTATTTTAAGTATAACAACATAAAATCATTCCTATCATGAAACAACTGACTTTGAAAGATGTTCACGAAATATTTTGCTTTGAGCTTCGTGTGCCTTTGGGTAAGGAGTTCCAGAGTAGAGTAGCCTTAACATTAAATTATTTCTCGGAGATTGCAGATAAACAAAAACTTACTGCTTCGGTAACTTTCGTGGACTTTAATCGCTTCAACATCTATCTCCTCGTTACGATCCCTGCTGAAGCTTACGATGAGATCGGTTCCTATATAATTGTGGACGCAAGTAGCTGAAGTCAGCACAAAATCCACGTTATCCTCCACGATGGTGCCGGCACAAAGCGGACGGTAGTCATCTCTCCTGCGGAATTTCGAAAATGAAACTTTCTTTAGAATCGTCGTAAATCGAAACCCGTTGGACCGAAAAAGAGACAAACACATACATCTATAGGATTTAACCTGTGAGAGAGTGAGATGAACGTACCAATAGAGTTTCCTATATTCATCTCAAATCTTCGAAGTGTACTACTGGGTCTGAACTGCACACATATCTTTGAAGTGACTACTTCTTTAGAATCGTTGTGCTTTGAAATTCATTGAAACGAAAAAGCGACAGTAAAAAAGAGACAAACATATACATCTATAGGATTTAACCTGCGAGAGAGTGAGATGAACGTACCAATAGTGTTTCCTATATTCATCTCATGTCTTCGAAGTGTACTACTGGGTCTGAACTGCACACATATCTTTGAAGTGACTACTTCTTTAGAATCGTTGTGCTTTGAAATTCATTAAAACGAAAAGCGACAGTAAAAAGAGACAAACATATACATCTATAGGATTTAACCTGTGAGAGAGTGAGATGAACGTACCAATAGTGTTTCCTATATTCATCTCATGTCTTCGAAGTGTACTACTGGGTCTGAACTGCACACATATCTTTGAAGTGACTACTTCTTTAGAATCGTTGTGCTTTGAAATTCATTAAAACGAAAAAGCGACAGTAAAAAGAGACAAACATATACATCTATAGGATTTAACCTGTGAGAGAGTGAGATGAACGTACCAATAGTGTTTCCTATATTCATCTCATGTCTTCGAAGTGTACTACTGGGTCTGAACTGCACACATATCTTTGAAGTGACTACCTCTTTAGAATCGTTGTGCTTTGAAATTCATTAAAACGAAAAAGCGACAGTAAAAAGAGACAAACACATACATCTATAGGATTTAACCTGTGAGAGAGTGAGATGAACGTACACATAGAGTTTCCTATATTCGTCTCAAATCTTCGAAGTACAGTACTGCGTCTGAACTGCACACATATTTCAGAAGTGGAAACTAATGTAGAATCGTTGTGTTTTAAATTCGATGAAACGAAAAAGCAACACATGCAGCCTATATACGGTCCACTGCTGGGAACAGACCTCCTCTCAATTTTGGGAGCGTTTTAGGTCAATGAAATGTCCGCCACGCTGCTCCAATGCGTGTCGGTGTACTTCACATGTTATCAAAATTTTTTCTTCTTATTTCTCGGACATGCAGGTTTCATAAAGATGTTTTCCCTCACCGCCGAGCACGTGGTAAATCAGGACTTAAAATTGCAATTAACAATTTCATTGGTGCCGACGAGGTTCGAACCCGGATTGCGAGTGCTTAGTCCTTGACCCACCACGGCTACTAGTATCAGTGTATCTGATATTATACTGATATTATCGTTAAGTTGTGTGGATGCTATAGGAGTCCACAGAGGGAGACAAATCAGGAGATGGGACTATACGAAAATTATAATGTACCTATATATCCAGGCCCTCCAGGGATACTCTCCTTTCAGCACCGAGCGGGCATTCGTTTTCTTCTGTTTTTTGCCTTTAACTACTTTAAACCCGCCTGGCACCATCACACCACATTGCCCACCATTTCTGTAAAAAAGCAATTTTTATAGAATAAGTGTGACAAGCACACACAATCCACCTGATGGTAAGTAGAGACGGTGGCCCATAGACATCTACATCGATTCTCGATTAAGGATCAAAATGTAGATGCGTTGTCAGCCTGAGAAATAAGTTTGAATGCCTCGTTTCCAGTAAAAAGGGTCTTCGGTTCTCTACACTGACCATGCAAAACACAGCAGCATTTAAATGCTATTTCACGCTGGTATTCTGTGAAAGCGTGATCCTACCTCGTTCGAGCTGACAAATTCGTGCTACAACCATAATATAGCTACAGCATGCGTCTACCAGGTGAAATATACCAAAGATTATAAAAACAACACTTGTGCATACTGCCATTGTCTCTTAAGAGGGTAGACGGGCTGCATTTTTTACATTCCCCTATTTTTATTTTTACCCCTTCCTGGATAATGCCTCTAAAGTAATCGTTTTTGTTTATATAAATCTAGATTTATTGAAGGCATGCCCCTGTCATTTACTTTTTTTCAAAAAAATGTTACAAAAATAAATATCACTTTCCAAAAACCTAAAAATTGCCCCGTTTTTCCTCCGTAATCAAACGACTACCAAAGAAATTTGAAAAGTTTTTAAGATAAAAGCAAATGATAGAAGCACAGATCTATTCTTCCTTTAAATTTTGATACCAAAAATAATTTAATTGGCTTAATTCTCTAGGAGAAAACAGGGGAATGCAGTTGAAAGTGAAATTCATTTACAACCCAATAAAATTAATGAATTTCTAAATGGACGGCAGGTCTAGAACTAAATTCGCGAAAAATGTGTCCGGATTCAACCTAAATACGCGTAAGTACATATATAAATATAATTATAAATAAAACCGTGACATCCTAATTCAAACCATATTGTCATTAGAAAACCGCTCAATTTAACTTGTTACATATTATCAGCCTATTAACTTCGACTAGCTTATGGTCCGTTTTACATTTTGAGAAGTGACAAGTGCGAATGGCAAATGACAAATGATTTATGACTTGATGAGTCTTGGCGGGAACTTGGTCGTAGACGGATTGTAGCTCCTGTTTTTTTCGCCTAAATAATGGTTTGAAGTAGATTTTGATTCGTAAAAATGATGCGATTTTGTGAACTAAGTGTCCGCGCGTGTGAACTATTAGAGAAAACGACGAAACAAGTGCCTTGATGTTGATATAAGCCTCAAGTTATTTTGATCGCTTGGGTGCCTCATGAACTTGAGTGGCTATCGTCATTAACTCTCCGTCGGGTTGAGTTGTCGTCAAAATCTCCCAAGGGCTTCGCAATGTGACGCAGCAGCATATTGTAAAAAAAAAGAATATAAAATGAAGATTCCGAAAGAAATGATTGGCTTAGAAGGTCTATAACCCAGAGCCGTAAAGCCAGTTAACAAAAAAATGACAAATGACAAGTGCTTAGTGCGTGTGAACAGACAGTGACAAGTGACAAGAGGAATAAAGTGCGCACTAAGGCACTCAAAATGTAAACCGCTATGAAGCTTGTAGTGAAAATTACTTTAACTTGTTTTTACAATTAATATGAATTTAAATGGAATAATATTGTATGTGAATAAATGTTATTGTATCTAAGCGAAATATTATATTTAAATGATTAAATAGTCCTCACTGAAAAAATGACGCACCATCCACTTTTGTCATTTTAGTATCAAAAGCAGTTTTTGCACGTTTTCATATTACAGTACGACTGACAAAACGATTGGAACTTGTTTTGCATTTTGGAACTCTTTTGATTTCGACGTTTTTAGCGCGGCACCATAGTAAAAACAGAAAAGTAGGATCCTCCGCCGCGCCGTGCGAGACTTAAATACCTACTGTTACAGGGTTGTCACTCCCTTTTTGTTTAACAGCTAAGTCTCATTTAGTTTTATAACTAGTTATAATATTAACAAACATATTATATATGTATACATACCTATGCATCATATTTGTTAATCATTTCTTTAGTTTCCTCTCAAATAATGAATGTTTGTCAATACAAAATCAGCTTCACATTACAACAAATTCCAAAGCATATGGTGTCAGCTCAGATTTAATGTTTAAAATTAATTTGATCTGCTGTGATATGATAATCAATATACTTACTTATGATGTTTGTATCTATGTATATATACTTAAACAAACGCATATATTAATTTATTTTATAAAAAAGAAAATATAAAACAAAAAAAAGACTGTTAGCATAATTTTATTCATAGAAGTCAACAAAGTCTCAGACAAAGGTGATTGCGGAGCGCGACGGTGGGCGACTCGGCGCGATCTTTCGTACTTAGCAAGTGTTGTTGTGTGCGTGCTGTGGCTCGTGTTTTCGAGTCCGTACTGTCACGTGCCAGGCACGCACACATATTAGCGGCAATCGGTACATTTCTTAGAAGATAGCCTACTAATCTGTTTTTACTATGGCGGCACCGAGGTTCGTTTAGAAGTAGGTAGGAAGGTAAATCACGCTCAAATTTCGACCGCTAGGCGGTCACTGGTATATAGAGATATATCAATTATACTCACCTAGGAATTAAGTCTTCCTGAGGAACGCAGCACAAATCCGTGGTTGTACAGGAATGATCCGTCAAACTGAAATAAAGCGGTTATTGAAGTGAAAACTTCTTAAGAATCTTTGTGATAGGAAATTCGTTGAAACGAAAAAGCGACAGTATAAAGAGACAACCTTAAACAATAATAGGATTTCGATCTCCTCTTTGTGTGCTTCGTTGCCTCCCCACTCTTGTCTACTTTTTTTAAATGTTTCACTTGCATCGCGAGTGAACTACAGACACATTTTCTTTTAGTTAAGTTAATAACCGTTCTAATAACGTACGGTACGTTATTAGAAATTCTTAAATTTATGATAGTCGCCAAAGATCATTATATTTTAACAAAAATATCTCTAAGTTTTTGAGATAAAATATCATTATTCATCATCATCATTACGTCCACTGCTGAACATAGGTCTCCCCCAAGTAATGCCACAAAGCACGGTCCTGAGCCACCTGCATCCATCGACTTCCTGCATATCTTACCAGGTCGTCACTCCGTAAAACATAGCCTAGTTCAATTCTCGCACTGCTATTTATCTGTTTGTCAAATTTCATTACAATCGATTCAGCTATTTTGTAGATTAGCCCGAAAAGAGAGAGACAGACAAATATAAAAAAAATGGATTAATAACCATTTTAATGCCATGCAAATAGCCTCTCAGCTCAATGGTACAGCACGGGTCACCCATGGAACCGTTAACGTTACAGCTTTTTAAAATCCACAGCTGAACGTAGGCCCCCCCCTCTTTGATTGCCTCATGCTGGATACTTGCCATAGCTGCCACACCTGGCACGTGGGTTGGCAACCGCAGCTTTTTCCCTTCTCCTGATTTGTTTCCTCTGTCGCGTCTTACCACACCCACCACGATATGATGTAGTGGATGTTCATACACTGCCACCACACCATGCTGTAGCTATATCATAGTTGCAGCACAAGTAAATCGACTTGACCAGGAAACGGCCACGCTCTCATAGAATATCAGCGTAAAATATCAGCTTAATGCTGCTGTTTTGTATTGTGTCATCAGTCATCAGGGGTGACAATGCATCTTCATTTGAGTTCTGATCGAGGAGTGTAGCTGTCTATGGACCACAGCGCCCTAGTCACCCTTATTCTATAAAAAAATACACCAATAACATAATGGGTGCGTTTGGCAGAAAAAGCGCTGGCAAGCGCTTGTTAGCAAAATGGCGATCGTAAGTGGTAAGCGCTGTCAAATCGTAAGTAGCTATTTTCCTCCAGGACACGATGTTAGTTTTAACCGGGGAACCTAACCTAATTTGAACATATGTTTGTAAAGTATTCATATTAAAAACTTACCAATCATGAATTTTTAATAACATGTATATGTTTATTCATGTCAATATATTACTTAAAACTAATATTGCACTAAACAACTTATAAACTCTACTTCAAAACAAAAAATTAAATAAGCAAAATGGCGGATTGTGTCAGCGCTACTGAAGTAGCATTGAAGAGAATCGTGTCCTGGCCGAAAACTATTTCAGCGCTTGTAAGTACTTGCTAGCGCTTTTTTCTGCCAAACGCACCCAATGATAATCGTATGTACTCACTGGATTATTTTATGGTTTGGTGTATGATAATTTCTGAGACGTGAGTCGTTACATAAGTAGCACTCGTAGCAACCACGAGGCAGGTCACCTTGTACTCCACTACATTCTGGTGCAGTTTCATCACCTTCAAAAAGAAAGTATCGTAAACATAAAAATACACCCTGTAAGTCATTATTTTCAGATAATTGATAGAATCAGGCGTTACTTTGCGGAAACTCATTATAATAAAAATATTAAAATTTAATTCGCAACCATCCGCTCAATTATATACAGTGATATGTCAATTATATACATTGTTTTTAATTGAGCGGATGGTTGCGAATTAAATTTTAATAACTTTATTATTATTTTCAATTAAGGCGAGGATTTCCCACGTATCTCTACTGCAGGCATCTTCTATTCATCATAAACCAGTGCTTGACCACAACACCACTTGATGGTAAATGGTAATGAAGCCCTAAATTGAAGATAGAAGCCCACTGTCTCAGCCTAACAAAACATACCTATTATATATAATAAAATGTATTTGTTCAGATCAATTTTGCGTGCGATCTTTTTACTAAACGGCGCCTTTCAACTAGCGGCCTCATTGATTGATTAACTTTTGTTACTCTTGGGTCACCTAAAGCCGCGTACATTTATATTTCTACTATTTAGCCCGGCAGATATTGTTCTGCCCATCCAGCAGACGATGATTTTCATTTTCACACACTTTTCTATAGCCTTTACACGTGAAGCTAAACTCTCTTTACGACTCATAGAAACATCAGGAGACATTATGACCATAAACATTAAAAAAGAGAAAAAGACATAACCCTCTTTTACTCTTCCGTAAGCGGATAACTGTTTGGTCGCTTGCGAATTACTTATATGTTATACACGATCATTTACAGCCTACGAACCGATTTTATGAAAATCGTGAACACACAATTTTTCTACAGATTTATTATATGTATATATATAGATGTTATTTATATGTTCACGGCTTTATATCGGCATATCATTCAGGCGGCTAGTTCAAAGGCACCGTATTATAGTAAAAAGCAAGACTGTTAACTGAAAGGCTAATGAAGTTAATGGGCTGCGAGGCAAAAAGTTACTTTATTTATTAAGAAATAAAGTATCAAAATTAAATGTACCCTATAAAAAATCTAATTCAATAAAATACCTTTTATATATTATCGAAAAATATTATATCGTTGTCAATTTATGTATGCAACATGTAACAAAAACCTCGTGGTTCCCGTTAGTGCGTTATCGGAATCAGTATCCAAACGTATAAAAATACTTCAGCAAACAAACTCAGCCTTACAAAAATCAAATTAAACTTAAATAAAATTTTATTTGATTCTTATCTAATTTTTTTTTAAATTCTTTCTTTGACAATTAAATAAACAAAACGTTTATCAACTTGTATTATATGCCTAAAATAGGATATTTTTTAAATTTATACATTCTACTTTAACTTATAAAATATAAGTATTTTATAATTTTGGTTCCTCAACAATTTGTTGTGCCTTTTAATTAAATGGTTATTCTAAATCTAGTAAAGTTTTTTAAATAACCTATTGAAAATCACTCAGATGGCATGTAAGTATATTAGTAATACAATTTTGCACACGTTTTAATATTTTATTACCAATATTTACGTTGTTTCCTTTGAGATCAAAGTATTTGCGAAATTTTTGCTCAAGCAATTCTTACATTCATTGGAGATAAATTCTTACATTGGCTGGAACTCGAACTTCGAAGCACCGCAGCATAAATTATTATTATTAAGTTACTATTTAAATAGTGAAGCTTTGCTATACCTAGTTTAAAAAAATTATAAAATTTTATTTCCTCAATTAATGTTCATAGAAATAATACAGTTAACCATATTTACACTTTTTATAT